TTGCTATAGGTTGTAGTAGATTGTTTTGAAACACATGCTATCACTCCTATTGTCTTTACTCTGGATGTCTGTGTTTTCGATATCAGGTGTGAATAAAACATTTTACGACTTTGCTGCGGGTAGTAATATTGGTTATTGATATATGGCATTTGTGATAGAATGAGAAGTTAATGTTAGTAATCCCGTAACATTTAGATGCAATGGGTGTAAATGCACTGGAAATTCATAGTAAACAACCATGGTACTGTTAGTTGTAATAGTTCAACCATCAGTTATATGTTTCCATCAGGTTTTTAAGGTTTAAATTATCAATGTCCCAACTTCGCATGCAGCTCTTCTAGGGCTACTACCCATCCCAAGCCCGAGTGAAGGGAGAGGGTAGAGCTAGTTGTCAGCATCCCTGTCCCGTAGAAAACTTGCCAAAAAACGCTAACAGAAATAAACAAAATAAACCATTTAAACCCTGCCCTCCAATTTTCATTCGGGAAAATTGTGACATCTGATTGTGAAAGCCGAAGTTCTTCGCGAGTCACGAGGCCGATGTCTTTTCTCACAAATACAGCAACAATTAATATAGGTACATGAAACGTCTGGACACTGTGGGAGACCGGGAGGACCAGCCAAGTAGCAAAGGAAATGAAGAGATACAACTTGACGGTGCCGGGAGTTGGCGGAACCCATTGAACCCAAACTGGACAACAAGGGCTGGTTACAAGAGGGGTGCCGCATTACTCCCGTCACTAGGGAGAGAATGCTCTACATGCTCGGGGAGCTGCTCTGACGCTGTCCTAAGAAGCACGTAAAGCACTTATAGGATGGGAGTCTAACGGGTCTAGTATCATCAGAGCATCTTTCAAAACAAAGGAGGGGATTACAATGAATGCTATCCAATGTTATACACCTACCAATGATATCAATGAAGACGATAAAGATCAATCCTATGAGAGACGTACCCAGGAAGGAATCTGACAACTATGATGGGAGACCCAAAGGCCAAAGTCGGGGTAGGCAACATCGGTTACTAAGATATCATTGGACGATATGGACTGAGAGGAAGGAATGAGAATGGTGACATATTTGCATACTTATGTGCTTTCAATAGACTAGTCGTAAGTGGCACTATGTTTCCACACGAATGTATTGACAAAGCTACATGGGTCTCACAGGATCACACTACACAGAGTCAGATCGATTATATATGCACCACTAAAACATTTAGAAGGTTAACAGAGATGGAAACCAAGAAAGTAGCTGATATAGCTTCAGGTCATTTCCTGGTGGTCGCCAAGTTGAGACTGAAGCTAAAGAAGCGCTGGACAACTGGAGAAACAGGGTTACAAAGGTTCAATACAGCCTTCTTTCGGGATACTGACAAACTTAACGGATTCAAGACAGCTCTCAAGAACAGGTTCCTAGGCTTACGAGATCTGCCTATCCACGATCCCACACGCCGGACTCGAACCCCTGACTTTTGGTTTCGAACGCAAACACTTGGCCTCTAGACCACTGAACAAGCATCCAAAAAAGTTAAGAAAATACTATGGAGGACAAGTGGAAAGGGACCAGTCGAGTACTAATTTTAACGTGTCAGGGGATTTTGGGTCTCATTAAGCAACATCATAAGGACTGGACCTTTATGAAAACCCTGAATAAGATTCAAGAAAGGAAGAACAGTAAAACAGGGATTGACAACGGATGAACAAGAGCAGAGAAAGTCAAGGTACAAGCTAAATATACTGAAGTAAACAAAAAAGTGGAGAAGAGCACTGGACAAATTGCAACTCTACGGATCATCGTTGAACAATCATTTGAATGGAACCCGTAAGACTGTAAGAAAACATTAGACACTGTAAGTCATTTATTTATTCTCGAAAGACTTGTAGCATGGAGTCGAGTCGCGATTGGCTATGAACACCACTACAAGAAGACTACGTGCCAGTTAACCGATAAAATCTCTCGTAAGCCAAATATCAGAAGGTAGTTGATGACTGTAGTCGAAATGTATTTGTTGGCGATCTCGTGGCATCGAAAGAATACAGAGGTCGTGCCAAAGAAGTACAAGCGTGGTTTCCGAGCGTAACCAAACCCGTGCAAGGTCACAATCGAAAGATAATGGAGCAGTAATATGGCTGTCCTTAGTACAGTTAAACAAACGAGCACAGTAAAACAATTACTGGCACAGTTAGTTATAATAATGATTGTTTCCATTAAATCAATCGCGTTCTCCTGATAAAAGTAAGTCACTACACACTCTGCTTCCGGTACCTCTGTTACCACTTCATTGTTTTCAAAGTGAAACCAACCATTTTGCTTCCCGGTGATGTGGTAGCTTCTGGTATCCAGAAATCCTAATGCCCTGAAACAAGCTCATTCGCTTAAAGTAAAAGTCGTGCAAATACACAAATAACTCCCAAACTGACTAGAATTAGTCCAGTGGGTGGGTAGACTACATTTCATTAGTCACTATTAAATACCTGGAACCGTATCGAAATAGCAAGAAGAAAATGTGAAGATTTATACTAGCGCGTGACAAAGATATTGGGTATGGGATACCATTCCACTTGTGGACTGTCTAGACGATAAAAAACGTGTGAAGGACAGGGCCTACCACCTCGGCAAACCTCATATAGGTGGGCTACCTGTCCATTCACGTAAGACTCATACAGACAAACAGGACGAAGCTCACGCGTTCCAAATTGAAAGCATAAACTGCTTATATATGAACGCCGCGAGTCTACCAAACAAATTCGATTAACTACGTGAACTTAGCAACGCTAACAAGGCTCATCTGATAGAAATATTTGAAACCTGGATATCTTCTCAGTTCTCGGACCAAGAGTTAGCATTACCTGGGATGTCTTTGTCCCGCAACAACATAAAATCAGGAATTGGGGGCGGAGTAGCCGCATACATACATTCTTGCTTGGAGGTGCTCCAGGTTCGTAACCTCGAGTTTAACAATCTTGAGGAATCCATATGGTGCTCTGTAAGATTGTCTAGTACTTCGAGGTGTCTAGTCGGTGTCATTTATAGGAAGCCAACTGCCGACATTGAGTACGATAGTTGTGTGCTGAAAGGACTATCCCATTCTACTCGTCTCGGTTTCACACACATCCTGATTCTAGGGGACTTTAGTCTCCCTAGAGTCAACTTCGCGGAACACACGTATACTGGAGGCGACAACTCAATTGAAGCTCGGTTCTTCAACCTCATCGATGACTTAGGATTGTTCGAAAATGTGAGGTCGGCAACTCGCTGGAGAAACAGTCAGACACCATCGCGCTTAGACTGTGTATTCACAAACGAAGAATTTCTAGTTGACAACCTTTCAATCCTGGCTCCCCTGGGAAAAAGCGATCATGCCGTCATAGCCTTCAGTTTTGTCAGCAAAACTAAGCTAAGATACCCCACCAATATCTTGCGTTGGAATTTTAAACGGTTGAATGTGCCAGCTCTACACGACTATCTACAACGGGTGGTTTGGGATGTTCACCCCCAACTCAACGTGGACGGTCATCGGGACTTCTTACTGCACACGCTCTGCTACAAACCATTCAGTTCCTCAAACGGTTCCCAAAAGCTGCAAGCTACCTACAATGATAAAGAACCGTAACCTTCGCCTGCTAAGCCGCAAAAAGCACTGTTGGGCGGAATACAAACGAACTGACAACGACGGAGCGTACAGGCAATATAAAAATATCAGGAACATATGCACGAAGGCTATAAGAGAAGATAGGCTTCAGTACCGGACAAAGCTTATGGACAAATTTGCCTCCAATACTAAAAGCTTATTCCGTTATGCAGCCTCTCTTCGTCAAGCCAAAACTGGAGTTTCCCAACTGGTAGGTCTTAATGGCCCGCCCAACAACGATGGCAACGCCGTTAACCTTCTGGCTGAACACTACTCTTGTACTACCAACCTGCCGACTGCGGTGGACAGATGGACAAGCATCCTCAATCACAAGGGGAAGGTTGATATCATCTACCTAGATTTCTCAAAAGCTTTTGATAAGGTTAACCATACATATCTTATCAATAAGCTCAAACGCTTGGGTATCAGACCACCTCTAATCGATTGGCTCACTTCATACCTGAAAAATCGAAATTTTAAGGTCAGTGTTAATTTCACTTTATCTCAGGCTATGGAATGTCCTAGTGGGGTCCCCCAGGGCTCAGTATTAGGACCTCTTCTCTTCTTGATCTACATAAATGATCTTCCTCAACAGGTAACGTCAGACTTATTATTTTTTGCTGACGGCGTAAAACTTTGGAGAGAGATACGCAACCAAGACTATATACAGACAATTCAGGAGGATCTGAATCGACTTCAAAGTTGGGCAGACGATAACGGACTTACCTTTAACACTTCAAAGTGTAAAGTAGTCCATCTGCGACATGTCGCAGATTACAGTTATAACTTGGGAAACTCCTCTCTAGTAGTATCCCAAGTCGAAAAAGATTTAGGAGTCCTGGTGCCCTACGATTTGAAGTCTTATGCTAACTATGGCAAAAATGCCTTTCGAGCAAACCTTGCACTGGTAACATTGAAGCGCATTTTTGGCCAGTTTGACGGAAGAACTTTCCATATAATCTTCAATGGTTTTATCCGTCCCCATTTAGAGTACGGAAACATAGTATTTCCCCCTCACTCCAAAAGGATAAGGACACCTTGGAGCGTATCCAACGGCGATCCATGAAATCAGTTCGAGGACTCAAATTTAAACCTTACGAAGAGCGCCTCCATTCACTTAGCCTTTACCCATTAGAGCATAGACGTCTTCGAGGTGACCTTATGATGGCTTACAGTATCCTTAACACTTCTGGACATCCTCTCAAACACCTACTTAAGCTTAGTTCCAACACTAACCTAAGGGGTAATACCCAAAAACTGGAGACACAACATAGCAGAACAGACTGATCCCTTGCTACTAGACACGGAAGCCTGTTAAACGAAAGCTTCTTCCATTCCGTCCACAACCATTTGAACTATTTGAACTAGTTGATTTGTAGGTCACTGGAGGGCGCGTGGTTGGTCCTGTCGTCAATGGGTATTGGTTCGTTTTGTTTTGAATATCTCGTAATGAACGGTAACTAGAAGCTTTAGTTAGTTCGGCAGATGAAAACACCGATGAGGCTACCCAAGCTCAACAGGAAGCGATCGAAAGAGATGTAATTTTGCCGAATAATATCAAGTTTGTGCTATAGATGAAGTCTACATGTCTAATTTCTGGAATTCTTCCACTTTCAACACTTGATGAGGACTTCACTGGTCATTTAGTTTACTTGGAAAAATTAAAGGTTAGATATTTTGTGAAATTCATAGTGAATTCATAAAGTGACCTAGAAAACAAAAGCTTATCTGTTTTTTTATTAAGGACTGTCTATTACGTTTCTTAAATATAGGAAGCGCGGCCCGACGGCTTCGATTACATTTAACCGTTTGAACTCGTTTCAGAAAGCTCTGCTTCAAGCAATATTGCGCTCATGTAGTGTCTAATAAGTATTATTTATTGGTTCGTATTTTTCGACTTGACTACAATCGTGGGTTAGAGAGAACGAAGGTTTACGCTAGTCATCTTCTAGTATAAAATATAGTAAAAACTAACCTTTCAAAGCCATCTGCTACGGTTTAAGTGCGGTATGGCATTAATGGTAATAGGTTCATTATTGAATAAACTTCATTGATGGGTATATTATGGGTGTTATTCGGCTTATCAAAGCAGCGCACTACAGTTCCACATTAGTTGTGATTGTTAAGTACTTTAAAAACCACGTTATCCTCAAGGCAACTAAAGATGGAACTCACACAAATCAGGTTTTAATATAAATAATATTCCCACTTAACAGTCCTCAAGTCTGTTTCAACGAAATATATTATTTGTTTTTCGTTTAATTTAAGGCAAGTGTTAATGACAATAAATAAATTAGTAGGATAATCAACATAATCTTCTTACTGCGTATTTCCGTAACCCAGTGGTCTACTCCTCTTACCCATTTTTTTACCTTTATCAACAAGCTTGCGCTATATTTTTGTGGACAATAAAACTAAAGCCATTTTAGCGTGTTTGCTCGGATCAGTATCTTCATTACACCATTCATAGGTCCAGTTGTGTTGCTAGTTTCACGTTGGCACTCTTTCATACTTAAGTACAACATTAAAAACATACTTTGTGTTCACCGTATGTCATAAAATATTTGTAAGTCATTTTTAACCTAAAATAGCCATGATTTAAAGGTGTCATACTATTCGGATAAAATAGCAAAGTATTCTAATAGTCAGATATTAATAGTATAGGAAAAATGTAGATGTATACTTTTCTAGTTAAAAATCAACTTAGTTTATTTTTTTGTTTTGGACGGTTTGTTGACAAAAATGCGATGGTGTAATTTTAAAACTGCTGAAAACCAAATCAGTTCTGCCTCCGTAAATACTCACTTAAATCTACGGTATCGACATGCTGAGTATCCTGATTTTGCCCTATAAATCTGTTTTCTATGCAAATTTAATCTAGTTGCTTCACAAGCATAGTGTAATAGGCGACACCTATTTTATTTATTTAATTCCCGACCGTTATTGCTACCTTGACGTGGTGGTCGGGCTTGCCAATCGTGACGAAGCAACCGAGCCATACTGGTTGGAACAACTGTTCCTCAAGGTCCTACCATGTCAGACAGGTCGGTTGAAGAGCGGTAAGACTAAAAGCAACAAACCCAAGGTCCGGAGGTGGGGTCGTATCGCTGAGTGTACAGAGGTGTGACAGCAGTAAGGCGTTTCCTTCAAACAACCAGCATGACAGCAATGCTGCCTCCCCACACGGAGGGGTGGGGTTAGAAAAGGTCGACCCTAAAAATGCACACCTCGCCTTATCCCACGGATATCCGTCTCCGGCGGTAAGGTCTCAACAAGTACGGAACTAACACATAAATTACCCATGAAAAGGTCATGTGTGACCGACTTCAAACAGTTGTCCCTTGGGCACTGCGGTCACGCTTCCAGGTCACTAAGACCACCTCTAATCCAATTTCCTTTTCAGGTACCTCCAGAACAACCTTTACACGGTGTGGGCAACCGGGAAGCGATAACCACCCTCATACCTCTAACAGCACCCGAGACCACTGTATTCATAATCAACCTTCCTCTTCAATTCCTATTATTCCTCCTACATCGACTTTCAACCCTAAACTTCCTCTTTCGGCTTCCACCTCAAGTGTCACCATAGCCAACGGTTCTAGTGCTCAAAACACTGTCCCAGGTCTACTGAAACCTCGCTCCATACTACACATTGGAGCCTTCAGTGTACGCACCCTATGTCAAATCGGTCATCAGGCTTCCTTGGCTAGAACCCTAGAATCTCGTACCATTGATGTATGCTGTGTCTCTGAAACACGCATACAGGATCCCAGTGTGGTCATTCACTTGACCTCACCTTGGCAACACGGAGAGCCAACGAGATACACCCTCCGTGTATCTGGTGACCTGACGGCCAGTCCTCGTAGACTGGCAGGAGTAGGGATAGCACTAAGCATGAGGGCGGAACAAGCACTGTTAGAGTGGATCCCCGTTAACAGTCGTTTATGTGCTGTTCGGCTAAATGGCTCCGTAAGAACTCGGAAGGATAGGGACACACGTCGTTGCCTTTTTGTCGTTTCTGCCTACGCTCCCACCGACTGCAGCTCTGATGAAATGAAAGATGAATTTTACACAGAGCTATCTGAACTTCTTCAGAAAGCTAAACGTTCAGACATAGTACTCGTAGCAGGTGACTTTAATGCCCAGATAGGTAGTTTAAATCAAACAGAAAGGCATTTAAGTGGGTATTTTAGTATTCCGGCACAGCGAACAGATAGTGGTGATTGTCTGCTGCAATTGTGCTCAGACAATCGTTTATTTTTAGCAAACACAAACTTTAAGCATAAGGAGAGACATCGTCTAACATGGAGACCCCTTACACCAAACCAACGATGGACTCAAATAGACCATATTGCCATCAGTCATCGTTGTAGAGGGTCGGTAGAAGATTGTCGCTCATTCTGGAGTACCTGCTTGGACTCCGACCACGCCCTAATACGGGCACGCATCTGCTTGCGTCTCACTGGACGCAAAAAAGCCACAGTAAAAAGACCCATTAGAATTGAATTGAGTAGCGAGAAAACCAAAAGTAGGTTCCAGGAACAACTGAGGTCACAATTAAGTAGTTCTGAAAACGAGGTTGACCCAGATGTTACTTGGGAAGATATGCAAACAGCTGTGGAAACAGCAGTGACATCTATCAGTGATTTAAACCACAGGGTTACAAAGAACCAATGGATTTTCTAAAGGTCTATTGCACTGATGGATTCTCATAAACTCATTCCATCAGGCTCTGAACACGATGAAAAGCGATAAAAAATCAGGTCTAGATTAACCAAAAGTCTAAGGAACGACCGTGAGCAGTGGTGGGCAACGAAAGCAAAAGAGATGGAAAAGGCGGCGGCTATAGGGAACACAAGACAGCTCTACAGGCTAATAAAAGAAACTGGAATTAATAAGTCAAGTATAAGTCAGACTATTTCGGAAAAAGACGACACCCTCATCTGATCTCAGTCCAGACGTTTAGAACGATGGGCGGAACAGTTCAGCTGGCCTTCAGCTACTCTACAACTACCATCCATTCCCAGACAGTGAATGGAACATTGAAGTAGGTCCCCCAACTCTAGCAGAAGTTCAAAATGCTATAGTTAATCTGAAACGACGAAGGGCAGCTGGTCCAGATGGATTGGCTCCAGAGGTCTTTAAGGATGGTGGTCCAACTTTAGCGATTAGGTTGACTAATATTTTATCTAAGATCTGAGAGTTGGACGTTATCCCATCTGACTGGTCACAATCACTTATCGTCCCAACATATAAGAGTGGGTCAAAATCATCCTGTGACAACCATAGAGGGATTAGTTTCACTAATATAGTATCTAAAATACTAGCCTCGATAATTATCAGACGCCTACCTAAGACTTGTGAACTGCAAACACGAGAGACTCAAGCTGGCTTCAGACCTGGTCGTGGCTGCATCGACCACATATTCACCATCTGTCAGGCTCTAGAACATAAGCATAATTATCGACGTCCGACAATGATGGTCTTTCTTGACTTAAAAGCAGCATTTGACTCGGTAGACCGCGAGATTCTGTGGCAGTATCTGTCACTGAAAGGCGTACCTCAGAAGTACATAAACCTTGTGAAGGCTCTTTACGTGGACATTACCAGTCTAGTCAGAGCTTATGGCGAAATGTCATCTGCTTTTTCAACCTCAAGTGGTGTGCGTCAAGGCTGTCCACTTTCTCCATTTTTTTTAACTTCATCATAGACTTATTGATGGAAATAACATTTTCGTCTACTAAATTCTCGGGTATTGATCTCCTTTCAGGAGGTCCACTTATCGACTTAGAATACGCAGATGATATGATCCTGTTTGGTGAGGACGCTGATAAAATGCCGAGTCTTTTGGTAGCACTAAGCAATAATGCCAGAATGTTTGGAATGCACTTCTCTCCCTCTAAATGCAAGCTGCTGCTTCAGGACTGGTTTGCGTCAACACCTGAACTAAGAATATGGAGTGAAGTAGTCGAACGCGTTGACAACTTCACTTATCTTGGAAGTCTGATCAGCCCTAATGGGTTGGTGTCTGACGAAATCTCAGTACGGATTCGAAAAGCTCCTTTGGCTTTTGCCAACTTACGTCACCTTTGGCGAAAGCGAGATATCCGTCTATCAATAAAAGGACGAGTATACTGCGCGGCAGTCCGTTCTGTTTTAATTTACGGCAGCGAAACATGACCATTAAGAGTAGAAGACACCCGTAAGTTACTAGTATTTGACCACAGATGCCTTAGAAATATTGCTGGCATCTGCTGGGATCACCAGGTAAGTAATAGTGAGGTTAGACGCAGGGTATTAGGGAATGATGGTAAATCAGTTGATGAGGTTATGAATCTTCATCGACTGAGATGGTTGGGCCACGTATTACGTATGCCTGAACACCGATTACCACGACGTGTAATGCTAACCGGCGTTCGGGATGGTTGGAAGAAAGTTAGGGGCGGCCAAACCAAAACGTGGCATCAGTGCCTGTAGTCACTAATTTCTAGTCTGAGCCATGTTGGTAGATGCAGACTACTTGGTTGGTGTCTACGTGACTATCGTAACCAATGGTTGGAGACACTTGGTGACATGGCTCAGAGTCGATCACAATGGCGTAGGTGTATACACTTTCTGTCTTTCCTTAAACTAAGAGATTAAAATCGCTTCATATCTTTCTTTCTGCTAACTAATTCTTTCTTCCTGTACTATATCCTTATATGCAATCTTTCTTTTATATATTACCACCTCTGAATTAACTACTTTTATGAATCCGGTGTCCATCTTTTGTGTTAATAAGGTATGGCAACTTGGACCGATGCATATATGTACCTGGTCCTACGTTATAGCTGACTGACTATTTATTTAATTGGACACATAAATATTGGTACGAAAGGGCACCAAATATATATGCGCCACACACAAATTTGAGGGAGAAAAAGGTAGGAAGCGTAAAAAAAGAACAATAACGAACATATTGGTGTAAGGTAGTGTAATAATAATAATGGGGGAAACGGATAAGTACAATCAGAAGAAATCTTTCAGTTAAGGAAGAAACAACCATTTTTAATGAAGAGAGTAAAAGAATGTTAAGGCAGGATCACCACTGACTTCTATTCTGAGCCATATCTGATAACGTCTCTAGCCACTGTGTTAAACCATCTCTCGGACCCCAGCCAGGGAGTCGTGAAGGACCAACAGAAGCCAGCCCTTTGCAGCTTTCTTTCATACCACGACACCATGTCATACACTGACCACCTCTCCGCTTCTTCCAACCAGTCCCAGAGTCGGCAAATAATGCACGACGTGGAATTCGCTGGGACGACATTCGTAGGACATGTCCAAGCCAGCGAAGTCGATGTTTCAAGATGTCGACACCAATTGGATTATCATCTCTGTGCCCAAACACATGACGCCGAACCTCTGCATTATTAGCATGGTGTTGCCACTGGATGTCAGCAGTCTTTCGGAGACAGCGATGATCGAACACAGAGTCATCTAACATCCCCGACTCGGAGAGGTCAGGTTTCACAAGCATAGAGCAAAACTGCTCTCACCGACGCGTTGTAGATCCGACCTTTTACAGCCAGACTAACATCACGAAGGCGCCAAAGATGGCCCAGATTGGCATAAGCCGCTCTGGCTTTTATAATACGTGGATCGATCTCATCACTCACGCCACCACCAGCACTTATGCAGCTACCCAGAGACACGAACTTCTCGACTACTTCTATCTGCTCACTATCCAGGGTGAGTACAGGATTAGAATCCTGCCAGTCTTGTAGAAGTACTTTGCACTTCGAAGGTGCAAAGCACATACTATACCTACGGACACTGATTGCCAACTAATTAATTGTGGATTGAATGGCTTGGGTATTATCGCACAGTAAGACAATATCGTCCGCATATTCAAGGTGGAGAAGTCTTTCTTCAGGTAACAGATCCACACCACCATTACTTACATTCATCAGAGCTGTTTCCAGAATGTCATCGATGGCAAAGTTGAAGAGGAATGGTGAGATTGGGCAACCCTGCCTAACCCCACTACTCGAATAGAACAATGGAGAAAGGTGGTTGTATGCCCTCACTCTGCCTGAGGTGTTTGTATATAGGGCATTTAGGATGTTAATAAACTTTTCAGGCACACCCTTCTTCAATAGACAATCCCAGAGAACAGTCCTATCCAACGAATCGAAGGCAGCCCTGATGTCAAGAAACACTACGATTGTTGGCCTTTGAAAATTATGGCGGTGTTCTAACATTTGGCGGAGGGTGAAGATATGATCAATATATCCTCGACCAGAACGAAACCCAGCCTGCTCCTCGCGAGTCAATCTTTCTCGGGTTTTGAACAACCTACGAAGTATGACGGAAGCCAATAGCTTGGATGCAATCAGAAGTAGACTTATCCCCTGATAGTTGTTACAGGAACGACATGAACCATTTTTAAAGATAGGGACAACTATCGACCCGTTCCATGACGTTGGTACACTCTCTAGTTCCCAGACCTTTGTAAACAACGTCGTCAGTTCCTTAACCAGAAAGTCATTACCATCTTTATAAAGGGCCGGAGGTAAGTCATTTGGGCCCGGTGGTTTGTGGCACTTCAAGAGTTAGAGTCCCTTGCGGACCTCCGTCTTATTTGGTGGATCAGTCGTCACCGGCCATTGAGGGTAGGACAGTCTGACCGATGTTTCTGGAGCAGCAGGTCAGTTGAACTGCCCTTCGAAGAATTCTGCCCATCGTCCAAGACGTCGATGGATGTTAGTGATTGGCGGAGATGAGAAAAAGACATCGTTTCTCACGCCGATTTCTTCTCACTTTGATGGAACTTTATAATCTAACAGCACATAATCGACTGTTAATGGGGATCCAATCGATTAGTGCTGCTTCAGCTCTAGCACTCAGTGCGACACCAACGCCAGAAAGATCAGACGAAGATGCCACAGGGTCCCTGGATAAGCGCACGTAAAACAAGCTTTTTGAAGCGACAGATGGAGAGCGAATTTGCAGTACTTCACCAGAGTCTTGAATACGGGTCTCGGATAGACAAAAAACGTCAATATTAAGACTTTCCAAAGACACCTAAATAGAGACCAACTAAGCAAGCTGAAATCTATTAGGTGAGTTTGAATTTTTACCACTAAGATTGACAAGTAAATGATTGTTTACCCAGCTAGCAATAGTATCTCCGTTCTTTTGTTCGGTGAAGTTATTGAAGAATGTGTATACAAATAGGGCGTAGTTGTGTGTTCAGTAGGCTTTGTTTATTGGTATGTAACAGAGTTTTTTCCTTAATTTCCAACAGCTTATGAAACAAAATTACCGAGGGATTCGTCGACTTCGACGTGATGGAAACTGCTTTTATCGAGCATTTGGTTTTGCGTATATTGAGTACCTGCTAAATGGCAAGCTAATTAAAGAAGCTGGGAGGTTTGTTGATTTTTGTACTTTCGTATGCTTCGTGTTGTGTCACTTAATTTCCTAACCATACTTAAGTTACAACTCAGTATGATCAGATTTTTCGTCAATCTACGCTACTGTGCGTAATTTATTTGTTTCAATTTCAGAATGATAAATGACTTGCGAAGTGAATTTCACTCTTCATTCACAAACCACTATTTGTAAACACCGTTTAACACAATTCTTTCTTAAATAGACTAAGCGTAAATCAATAAACTCAAATGATCCTCAATGATAGGTTTTGCTTTGGTCCACTGCCGGTCTGGATTCTCACGCAATAGAAGTTTAATATTGGAATTTGTCTTTTGAAATGGTTCCCAAAATAAGTCGAATTACCTTAGTGGTAAGGCATCCAACCCACTTCAAAGAAACCCGAAATACTGGTCAACGGGATTGCCGTAGTTTCTTTATAATGAAACCTATATATAAAGGTGGTTGTATGATATTTTTAAAGATAATCGTTATATCACTCTTTAATTAGTTGCACCTAAATATTACCATACTTTGAAATTGTTTACAATATGGAAACGACATAAGTGCATTTAATTTGACGATACATCGTGTTTTAACTTCTTACTATATATTTTGTGATAAATAATTATATTAGGATATTGTTAATTAGTTTTTGTGAAGGGTTCCTGCGAAACTAAGTTATATATGAGTTTTTCCGGGTATAATGATATCCATTGTCCCGTAATATCTTAAGAGTGCCATAGAAAATTACATCAAAGGTGTTCGGTATCTATTTATGTTAGTTTATCGTGTCTCATAACTCTTTTTACTTTTAACAAAATCTAGTGTAATTTATATTTATGTTCATCACTGAATCTACGGAGGGTTGTCGACCTTGATATGTCGGAAATATTTTGTGTATTTCACCATAGTTTATTCTATTTTGAACTTTGTTTACTGATACAGTCTAAAAGTTTGTGATATGATACCACTGAGTAAAGGTTAGTTTTGTCGGGTTGCCCCTGTAAACTCATCATGAGTTCCTAACTGAGATTCTAGAAAAGTGTGAAATTTGATATCCAGATGTTAACGAATTTGGCTTCGTATCAAAGTTGCAAACAATTATGCTGAAACGTCATTTTCTTACCCACGTATAAATGATATATATTATGTGTATTAGTTTCCCTAAATCTTCATGGTTTTGCTACTTTATCGTTTTTTTTAAGTGTAGCGTCTCTGTTTTACCAAAACGCTATTAAGCGAAATAGTTTTTCTGGTAAAATATTCCAATTCCTGTAACTTTTCCAAGTTTGAATCGCCTCTTGCCATTTCTGTTCTAGGCAGCCGGGTATCATCTTCAATTGTCATATAACAAGTTTGACTCAAGTCAATGAACGAAAGTGTGTGTGGTCATCGTAACTAATCTAATTAAAATTATTTCCACTTCACTTTATTTATTATTAGATATTAAGAGGAATCATTAGAAAACTTACGGGTTTCCAGAGTAATGTACATATATTTATATGAAAACATTTTCTTGTGAGAATTCGAAATTATGGTCAAAAGCATTATTGCTGATCCGAATTGATTGTAATTGGTCCTAATATGGAACCGAATATGTAGATAACTTTTCCTCCCAGTCCTAACAAAACCTATGGTACTATTTACACAAATCAATTTTGATGTATTCGATTAGGAACGTGTGAAATTGCGGTGGCGAACGGTACAGATTCTGTCTAGGAGAGTACATGCTTCATTGAGATTCCATATGTATCTGTCTGATGAGTCTCGACAGACATGAGAACTAGGTTTAGGACTTCTTGCCCACAACTTCCAATCATCTTACTCCAAATTGAATTTCATATCACACCTTGGATGAGTTGATTTTATCCTTTTTTAGATTCAAGAAGAAGTGTGATGAGTGTAAGGATACACTGATTGCTAATGGTTATACACAGTTTACTGTAGAGGATTTTCATGAACAGGTAGGTAATTATTTATTATCTTTTTTTATTCCTCAAAAGTACTTTTATGCAAGTGTTTTAATTACGTTTTCCTATATTTGATCCTTTTGGGCACAAAGGCACTTAGTATACACTAGCACCAAAATAAATCCATGATGATAACTTTGAATTTATCAATAAAATAAAAATGTATATCAACTCAGAACCTTGCACAGAAGTGCACATGTCTTAAGCTAGCTCACTACATAACAGTAGGAAATAATAAAACCAAGGTAATGAAAGAATTTGAAGGATATTGCTAGCAATAAATAAGACTAAAAAAACAAATACTAAATAGACTCCACTTGGTTAAGTAATTAATTTAACTCGTTTACCAATTACGGGTTTTTGTACTTGGCTTTGAGCAACACTTTTAGACTACACTGTCAAAAGTGACTACACGGTGGTTCGACGATAATGTAGCGGTTTCTCAATAGAACAGTAACTTATTCATTGTAATAACGAACAAGTGGTCGATTAAAGTTGGAAATTTTTATATAAATACGTATAGATAAACGAAGGTTTCTACAGTAAATAATTATCAGTTTAAAGTACAAACCTACATCCGAGTTGATACAACCAGGAACATTATTAAGTACTCAATATTGACATGTGCACAAATAACCAATTAGATACTACTCGACGGATAAAAATACATTAGCCAATAAGAAAGCAATTAGTTGTTCAATTAATTAGTGAAATATAAGATAGAAACAGTGCAAAACACCAACCACCCAAGTAATATTACTATGATACGTAAATCTTATATCAAGGTCCATCTTTAACAACCGTTTTGCAGCCGAAAAATGGACGAATTAGTACTGTGTACATTCACTCTTTGATAACTAGTCTGATATATTTCAATCGATGTAGTTGGAGAGGTTAGCAAATATCGTGTAATTAGTTCCCTGTTAGGATTTGAATAAAGCACAAAAAATTAAGACAGAGTAATGTGAATTCGTTATATTTCGTGGCTTCTCATCAACTGCTTACAATCATATTTATATTGAAAGATAACATCGTGGTATGGTATGATGTGAAACAATTGGCATAGATAACGAAAAGAATCGGAATGACAAAGGTTATCAATAATAACTATATACAGATATGTGCAAGAACAGATTAGAGGTCATTTGGAGATGGAATTCAAAAACATAGGGGGTGGGTGGATGGTTCATCAACTAAATGAGGTCCGGAGACAAATGAGATAGATTGTGTGATAACTTTAAAATTTGTGAAGGGTTTACATAAGATTACTAGATTTTGAAATTGATAAGATGGGTTACGTGATAATTGAACAGGATTTGAAGAATCTATTTAAGTTAAAAGAATCAAGTAAATGAAAATGTATGAGTGAAGGGATGGTTTTAGTGTACATAAAGTAAGAATTAGTTAAGAGAAGACCTCATAACGAAATGAACACTAATAAAATAATGATAATAACAAACTTAACCAAGGTAGTGATAAGTTTATTGCTAGTGCTTTCAGAAACCCGAGTGACACTGTATTTTCTTGTCTGCTAATAATTTCGAAGATTAGGTGAATGTCAATAGTATGCCTGGTGAATTCAATGCCGATCTGTTGCACTATTTAGAGCTGTTGCGTTTTTCAGTTTCAAATTCTTTGGAATGTGCTTGGAAATGCGAACATGTACTCTTCTTTCTGTTCCAATATGTGTTTAGGCACTTGCATGTAAATTGGTAAATGTTCACTCAAACAAACAAAAATTGACAGGCGCTCTTTTCTTAATGCCTCCAACTACATTTACCTTTTTTTCTCATAAACAAGTGTTTTAAAGTGTTCTATTTATTCTGTATATAATGTAATTCATTTTCCAAGTATGAATATGAGCTTTTGGCTACATTTTAATTATGCGAGCTAATTGAAACTACCTGGTTATACCAGACTAAAGTAACTAGTAATTCAAGACTCGAACTTGTTTACCTTACTAGATGGAAGGTGAGTGCCTCAATTGCTAAGTCACCATTGCACCAGTGTTTTATTGGTTAAAGTAGTTCTTATTTTTAAATTTATAGATGAATATATTTAGTAGTTATTCCATACAGAATAAATAGATTGTATCAATTTCTATTAAGTGGATAAATTATATATTTATTAAATATTAAGCATAAATCTCTTTGTTTACTTTCTTTTATGTTTTTATTGTCTTTGTATACTTCTCTTTATGATAAATATTAGTTCGTTGGAATGGTGGATCGGTTTACTGTTGATGGTGGCACATTGGAAGAATTAGAAGAAGTTTTTAACGATCAGGCATATTCAGATTATTATGTCGTATTTTTACGGTTAGCTATTCTGTACTTTTTCCTATAGAATTGTTTCTTCTTAGATGGCAGGAAATACATTTGTGGCTTAATATTGTTGCGTTGTTTAACCTAGGTGTTTTAATTGCAAAGTTATTTTTTATTTTAAAAAAGATCATCATGAATTTTAGCAAGGTAATATTAAAGTGTGGATGTTTTGTATTTTCTCCACAACTTTCACATCGTTATGTTTAAGTCGCTGGACATTTGATTTTCCTCATGTAATAACTTGTGCATTTGGTCTGGAATCATGTAAGGCTGAGTGGTGATTTTTAATTATTGATGAAATACTTCAAGGTCAACTACTGCACATAATTTATTTAAACAAATTCATATGAAATTGAAATACTCGATGAAAATACGTTGACTTTCTATCAATTATCAGATTTTTTATGGATAAGATCAATAATATGCATTTAGACAAAGATAAATTAGTGAAAAATTTTCATCTCTCTGTTTTATTCGTTTCAGTAGTACTACGAATTTATAAGTATATTTTGTTTCAAGTACTCAGCGAAAAATAATACTTCTCAGTACGTACATACATTATTTACTGTTAATAGTCATTATGCTACTTGTATAGTAGAGCAAAGTATATTAATTCATTTCGTATTCGATTTTAACTTAGCATTTATTTATATTATTAATATTACTTATGGAATAAATAAGCTTTCTGATATTGGTAAGAAATGTGCAACCCCTCATCCATTATCACCCGTTACTGAGTCGCATTCATGACATTCGAATTTCGCAATGAACATGATAACACTGAGTCAAAATTTAATAATTTATATCTAACTTTATTTATTCTATTTTCATCTTATTTATTACTAATTTGATATGATTTTGAATTGTTATACTTTCAGACTCTTAGTTTCTGCGTACATTCAAAAACAAGCTGGATATTTTGTAAATTTTATTGATGAAGGTAAAACAATCAATCAGTTTTGTGAAACAGTAAGTTAATAAATCATAGATATTTTTAAATTTGTTGTCGTTATTGTTATTGTTGTTGTTGTTGTTCTTCTTCTTCTTATGGATTACAAGTGATTAATTTCAAAAAAGGATATAATAATATCGATAGCATTTAGCTTCAAGATTGTAATTAATTATAGTGAACGAATAATTTTTAAAATAATATATAATCAGAAGTGGAATTATTAAGATGAATTACTCGTAGAAAAACAATAAATCAATTGAGAGAACACATTAGTTTTATGGATACTGTTTAAAAGTTCATCAGAGAGGAGTGAGTAACCTACAAAATTGATATGAAAATAATAAGAAAGTATTTTATCTTCCTATATCAGTTGATTTAGAGGCTTACATGTCAGTAATTCGTTCTTGAGAGCAGCCACCCAGTCAGCCACAAAGTATCATTGGATATTATCAATCGAACAGCGTTGTATCGATTAGTCGAACAATGCATAAGCGTCATTCCTCACTACAATTCATAACTTATGATTTTTTTAAACATAATATGGACGGATAATTGTAATATATCTACTCCATTAAAAATAACAAACATTTGTACGTATTTTTACTTAATCATATCTTAATTGTTCATTGGAGAATTCAAACCCATTCCTAGTAATCTCTAATATAATCAATTTAACACATCGATGTAGTCACTAATATGTCAAAAGTTGTATACACCTTGTATCAATTATTTCAAATTTGATCCTCCTTACATAGTGTTCCCATCACACTTCAACAATCTGTCAAAGGGTATTTTAAACTGTATATTTCATGTTCGATGGGCAATTACAAGCCTTTTCAATACTACAGGTTAGGCATATTGACAACTGTAAATTGAATGAATGTTTAGTGTGCACTTCAATATTAATTTTTCTACTAATTTGATACGATGTGTTAATTCTAATATTCTCATGTACAAAAAAACAGCTTGTTACTGATAATTTAATATTCGTATATGATTAGTCAGCCTTAAAAATGGATTTACCGTGTGAAGTTCCATTTAATTTATAATTTGTACAGAGGTAGCCTAGTTGTTAAGTATAACGGTATCTTAATGATGAAAACATTCGGTCCCAATTTTAGATTCTGCCTATGCCAACTTGGGCTTGGGCAACTACTTGATATCACTAGCAATCACACTTTAAATGTGATCTAAAGGTTGATAGGATTCATTATTATTAGTTCTACTATTATTATTTAAATTAGTTTGTCGGCTTTCTGTTGATACCTTTTCACTCTTGCGCAGATTCGTGTATATGAATTTTGCATAAGATTGTAATCAACACTAGATTCTTAGACTTTTTTGTAATACGATCTACTGTCTGACTTAACTATTAATGCTTGATCAAATAAAAATTAATCTTCACAAAGCGTTCTATTTACTGAACAATAATACATGTAAATTATGCTTATTTACAATTAGTGTACATATAGACAATAAATTTTGACTTATTTTGGTAATCCTCGTATTTTCTATAACTCATTAGCATTCAGAGTTCACTGATCATGTAACCTTGATATGTCTTATAACTTAAGAAATTGTACATATTTCATCTTATCTCTGAAATGATTGTAAATGAATTCAGAAAATAACTGATATTTGTCATGAAATCGCGACCAATTTAATGGTTTAGTGAATATTCTTTTCAATGAATTTCTCATCAGGTTCTACAATTCATAAATCTAAATTAATAATCCATAAAATTGGTCAGATTGAAGGCAGAGTACATCATTTGGAAATTGTAATATGTGAATCAAGGATTGTTGTTTATCATATCAAATCAAATGGTTAATGTTGAGGCTGACTAATATTAAGTGTTAACTTGAATCAGTTTATAAGTGAAATGAAATTGTGCGATAAAGGATCAGAATAAATATGGTCAACATGGGGTGAGAGAGAAAATAATGTAATTACAAATCAGAAATTAAGTAATATGTAGAATACTAGGAATTAGGTCAAATATAGTAGATTTAGAGGTGGATGCTGAATAATTTTCTCAGAAATGTTATCAAGTGTAGTGATAATAATGACAATGGTAAGATGTGTGGATAAGTTTAGGACATAAAAATGAACATTAATCAAATTGCATCACCATATTATAAAATTGATTATTAACTAGTTGGCCAGGGTAAAAGAAGCGGCTGAACATATTTCTTTTGGATGTAAAGCTCTGACTTTTTGATCCGAATAGCAATTTCTTCAGCCGTCTGTAGGATTCGCAGTCTGACGGAATTAGGTAGATTGCTGTTAAGACGATATATTATTGTGAAAGTTTGCTCCATGTTGGCTGTATGTCCCATTTGAATTAAAGGGGCTAAAATGGAGTTAACCGGTTTAACTGCACCTTTGCTTAACCACACTAGGAGGTACTGACGAGCCCGAATATACAAATTCCTAGAACATCTGCCAATATAATTTGCTTCACAGGAGCAGTTGAATTGATAAATACCGAAAGAAGTGACTAGTCTAGGTAATTTATCTTTCAATCTCTGAGTGATCAAATTACTCTTGAATTCTACCGGCATTTACTATAATGAATATAATCAAGATTTTTCCATAATATATTTTAAATTGTGAATTGAAAAAAAAACTTGCAATTTTCAAATTACTATATCCAACTTTTAAAATAAAATATTTTTCTAATATAAAAAACAACAACAATAGGAGGTTGAACCAATGGCTCGTGAATCAGATAATATACATGTGGCTGCTTTAGCATTAGCTGTTGAATTGCCTATTTATGTAGAAAATTGTCAACAGTCGGGTGAATTGAATCGTATCGAGTTTCCTGCATATAGTGATTTAATATTGGATAATGCCGGTGAAACAAGCAGTGATAACCATGATATTCATAGTGAACAAGTATCCAATGAAAATGATTCTTTTATTAATAATTATAAACAGAATAGTAGTTCACCACCAGTTACATTATTGTATAGACCAGGTCATTATGATATATTATATCCTAATTCATGAAAATATTAAAGCAATTGATAAGATCGAAACTGTTAAATTGAATAATACGCTCTGTATCATTGATAATCAACATTACAGTAGGTTTATATGTTTTGGATGCTACTTTATAATTTAGATTAACTTTCAATGATGATTTTTTTTTGTTGTTGTGTTTGTCTGTATGTGTTTATGTATTTCTGTAGATTCTTTTCTTTTTTGTAATATGATGCCTTTCACTAAAACAATAATTCAATCGATAGTAAAATATCTTTTTTGAATTGTTTCTTTTGAAGAAATTGCGTAGACTATTTTATTACGTTTTTTACTTGTTACTCTATAACGACTACTGGACTTCACTTGGTTTGACGTAAATTAGAACAAAGATGTGTCGATGATAAGATATATTTCAAAGAACCGGAACAACTATGTACGGTAATGAAAACGCAAGAATTTACATATAATTTGCATGAGGAACTTCTGGTGTCTTCTTGAGTCATGTACCAGAGCTGAACATTTAATGATGAATCAGTAAGGATATTTGCATTCGATGACTCAATGGCCGTGCAATCATAAGACTCCTAGCCTCCCAACACCTCCCTTTTGAGGGAATCTGTGGGATCTATGGTCGACGTTCACTCCTATCAACTCGACTAAGCCGCTTTCGATCTCTTCATCTTTCCCATAGTAAAAAATGGCTCCTTTTTTGTATGAACCAGAACTGAAGGTATTTATGAGAATAGAGAGTCGTATTATATGGTGGTTTTTATTGCTGGAGATAGGTGTTAGTTTTTTAGTAACCTTATAGCTGACTCCAGTGAAATCAGACTAATAATCGTTATCGAATGATTGCTGTCGAAATATACATCATGGCTACCCTCGTGTATAATCATCAACTTGAATCGCGTCATTGAATAATGGAATTAAATAAATCAAATACGGGAATGGATTTTCGAATACGTATATTTCGTACAACCGTTGATTGTAAAGCATAGCAAAACACGACACGCAGCGGTGAAAGCATGTGAGCGAACCGAATTTACCCAAGCGTGAATCGATAATTATAGTCATACAAAAATAAGTTACAGGCACATAGTGAGTAGGGTAAGTAATTAACACACATACGATCATATAAAGAAGTCAGTATTAATGAGCGAATAAGTGGCAGGGTAAAAATGTGGCTTGAGAAGAACCAACGGATTGGTCTCTGCAGAAGCTAAAATAACTTATGTAGGATTGTCACAGTACCAGCCCCTACAATTCCAATCGATTTGCTCATTACACTAAGCTATCAAATCAACTAACATTTCATACATCAATATTGATTTTCACCAGGTTCAACTGTCTGTCAGCTTATTGTTTTCCACAATAGTTCATAAAGAGTACTGTCTGACCAAAATTAAACGGTCGTTTCTGTGCTCCATGGTTTTGGTCTGTTTCGATGAAACTAGACTCGGTACGTGACAAATGAATGCTGTAGATATATGCAGTTTTCATCCAACAAAACACCATCTACTGCATTACACTATGTATTCCCATATCTGTGCGGAGCGCATTTGAATGTACCTACAAACCCTTCCACATGTTCATTCGATTAAAGATGGCAGGATGATAGTTGGAATAGATTAACTCCATCCTGTCGACAAAGAAGATTAAGACTAACAGTTATCACCAACTATTGTCTCCAGATACCAAAAATAGATGACTATGGAAATTCCTTACGGAGCAATAGATAAATTCCTTACTATAGTATAACATATACTGTCTGAACGGATCTAGGGAAAATATCTTCCATGAAACATAAACACAGACATCAGCAAATAATATTACCGAAAAACGACAAAATACCGCACACGATTTTGTTCCCAAGCTAGTGTACTTGCAGTCATATAAATATCATGCATTTACGTGCTGACGCGAATGTAGTGAGAATACAGTATACTCAACATTATACAAGTGGAACAACTACTCTATATAATAAGCAAAATTTTAACTACAATCCCTCTGAAGACATTGTAGTATATCGAGTAAGCAAGATCGGACTATGAGTTAATAAATGATAGCAGCAGGTATATAAATATTAAATTCCGTTGACACAGGATATCTGGAGACGTTTATTTATTTATTTATTTATTTGAACACATAAATATTGGTACAAGAGAGCGCCAATATATATGCGCCACACAAAACAATGGGAATTCGAAGAGAAGTAGAAAGAAAAAAAAAGAAGAAAAAAAACTAAGGAACGCAAAAGAAAGAGAGAGTAATGACGAAGAGGTACAATCAGAAGAAATCTTTCAGTTAAGGAAGATACAACCACTTTTTTATGAAGAAAGTAAAAGAAGGTTACAGCAGGATCGCCACTGGCTTCTATTCTGAGCCATATCTGATAACGTCTCTAGCCACTGTGTAGCACCATCTCTCGGACCCCAGCCAGGGAGTCGTGAAGGACCAACACAAGCCAGTTCTTTGCAGCTTTCTTTCATGCCACGACACCATGTCATACACTGACCACCTCTCCGCTTCTTCCAACCAGTCCCAGAGTCGGCAAATAATGCACGACGTGAAATTCTCTGCGACGACATTCGGAGAACATGTCCAAGCCACCGAAGTCGGTGTGCTGATCACTAAGACAGACTACGACAGAGAGAACTAAGTGGAAGGAGAGTGAATGACTGAATGTGAGTGAAGGTGTGATGGAGGGGAATGTGGAATGCTACACGGAGCCCAAGTGAAAACACGAGATTGGATTGTAAGGAGGAACGCTTAGTGGTGGCACATGATTACAGTGATGTAAATGATGTTTCGTAGTGGTAGAACGTGTGGGCGAAAACTGAAAGCCAGTCGCCTGCCGGAACCCGGGATCGAACCGGGGACATTTAGATCTTCAGTCTAACGCTCTCCCAACTGAGCTATTCCGGCGACGTGGGTCCGCACAATCACATCTATTCACACTCAAAAGCATATCTTCATCCAGCATACGCACACACTACACGCCAAATCCAATATCAACATCAAAATTATAACTAACAGACAAACACTAACAACAAGCACACCAGTTCATAGAACAATCGTCAACAATACACTTCCTACAACACCAACACGGCATCCAACCACACTGATCAAACAACCAATATATATTTCTCAACACATACTTCCAGCAGTCAGTTCACCTGATCCATTCACACATTGGAATGAGAAGACGAAGTGTGTCACCATCTCATCCCACCCCACTTGCACAAAACAATCAACACTGTCTGCTTTCGCACTACTCTTCAAGCAATATTGAGACAGAGTTCACATATCAGTAGTCGGGCAGATATGCACGTCACGGTGATCATCATAACAACAATAATGATCGTGTGAATAATAAATACTATTGTTGGTATCATTCAGTACTGTATGATTAGACAAAGTTGACGAGTGCTCAGCAACTGTGTTCAACACAAGGTTGGAGTGTGTTTGACTGAATGGATGCATGAATGAATGTACGTATGACTGATATGACCACACTCATCCGATCTGTGTGGATTGTAGGGATCGGACGTTCCGAATGGTTGATAGCGAGACTCCGGATTGATTGATGAGTCAGATTTGTCCATATGTTTTGCAACGGCTCACTGTGTCTTACCTCACCTTCTCCACATTCACAAATCGAGGAATGAGTCGAGGAGAATTGAATTGTTCGAAGTTTCAGTGTAAATTCCCATGACAGGTTGTTTGTTTGTTTGTTTGTTTGTTGAGACGTGCTGAGGCGAGCATGTGTGTGTGTGTGTGTGTGTGTGTGAATAGAGTATTCTCGAAATACTGCAAGAGGAACGACCGACAAATATGTCACCCGACATTCTGTGCTTGTCTGTGTCTATGTGAGCACGTGACCGATGCTAGTAGTGTGAGTGGTCGGGAAATGCTTGTTGGTGTTAATGCAGATAGAGACGAGTGTTGTTAGATGTGAAAACTTTCCCGCGCCGGGAATCGAACCCGGGCCGCCTGGGTGAGAGCCAGGAATCCTAACCACTAGACCACGCGGGACAATTTGTTGTACAACACAACAACAAACACCATCGATTCACAACTACTAACATGCACATACACAATATGTCCACATACTACTACAGTCTATATCAACATCACCAACACATACGCAACAACATTCATCACACATGCATCGAAAACACACTATTCCAGCATACTCATCACCACTTCAAGTAACAACTTGCCCAACAACCATATTGTCATCATCAACATCATCACAAAGAACAATAAGAACAACAACAGCAGCAGCAACATCGTCGTCATCCACACACACAAATGTGTTTCCGTCACCTTATCATACACAACACCTCACACTATCTGGACAGAGAACTCACAGTTACTGATCTACCGACTGATAAATTGTCGGGACAATGTGGGTGTTGGAAACAACATCACTCCTCTACATATTCCTCTCCACTTACTGCCACAGACTACAAGGCCGCACATGTTTGTTCGTTCGATTGTGTGATTGTGTGTGGGCATGTGTGCGCAAGTGTATGTGGTGTGTTTATGCGAATGTCAATAGGAATCCACACATTCAATCACAATAGACTCCCATCAAATTCATTGTGTATATGCAACAATCCACCTGGTTCGTTCGACATCATGGTTTCCAGACTGCCACCAGCTGAATGTGCTGATCACTAAGACAGACTACGACAGAGAGAACTAAGTGGAAGGAGAGTGAATGACTGAATGTGAGTGAAGGTGTGATGGAGGGGAATGTGGAATGCTACACGGAGCCCAAGTGAAAACACGAGATTGGATTGTAAGGAGGAACGCTTAGTGGTGGCACATGATTACAGTGATGTAAATGATGTTTCGTAGTGGTAGAACGTGTGGGCGAAAACTGAAAGCCAGTCGCCTGCCGGAACCCGGGATCGAACCGGGGACATTTAGATCTTCAGTCTAACGCTCTCCCAACTGAGCTATTCCGGCGACGTGGGTCCGCACAATCACATCTATTCACACTCAAAAGCATATCTTCATCCAGCATACGCACACACTACACGCCAAATCCAATATCAACATCAAAATTATAACTAACAGACAAACACTAACAACAAGCACACCAGTTCATAGAACAATCGTCAACAATACACTTCCTACAACACCAACACGGCATCCAACCACACTGATCAAACAACCAATATATATTTCTCAACACATACTTCCAGCAGTCAGTTCACCTGATCCATTCACACATTGGAATGAGAAGACGAAGTATGTCACCATCTCATCCCACCCCACTTGCACAAAACAATCAACACTGTCTGCTTT